CGTCATGTTCAAAAGAAAACTGCATTTAAATACAGCGTCCCCATTTGTCCAATCAGTGATATTTTTAAATGCTGGAACATAATGTGATGATGTGTCATATTCCAGGTTTTGTCAGTGCCATCTTAAGATTGTTTTGATGGAAGCGTGTGTGGACACAGTGTCATTCAAATTTTTAAAGATATGACTCATGACATTGATAAAAAGTTTATCTTGACAACAGGTTATTTTTCTTCAGCAAACATGTTTTACTGGTGGGACCTGACAGGATGGATCTAATAGGATTTGACATCTCTCTCTGCACATAAACTTTTATTTAATGCTCAATAACAACTTCATGTTGATCCTTCATTGCCATGGGCTTCTGCTCCAGCTGTAAATGTCTCTAAAACACCATGAAAGCTGAGAACACTTTTTATGAAAAACATCACGCATTTTGACATCAAACAGCCTTAGAATCAGCCAGCGTTTGTCCCCTCCTTTGTCTTTCATTTTACTTGTCTCTCTTCACATTGTATGTTGTGCATTTGTATTCCCAGCTCGTTCATTTTCCTATTTCAGTCTCTTCTCCCCCTCATGACTCGTTTTCATCTCAATTTTCTCTGTGTCTGTGTCGTAATATCTCTTTCTGTCTCTTCATTGTCCTCACAAACTTTGCTTTGACTCAGTCATTAACAGTGATGAATATCTTTCCACTATAAAATGCAGTACTCATCAATGACATTTTATTTTATCGATTTCAAGTTGGCATGGTACAACTAGCCTTAATAAACAACACAATAAATCCAAGTATTGTTTTTTGTTTTTATCCTTTTCTATTTTGTCTGTGCTTAGTGGGGTTTAATGAAAGGTTGTCACTTTATTGTAGGACTTTTCATTGCCATTACTTTTTCTCCTTTTATCTTTAATCATTAAAATAATAATTGAAAGGGTAGTTTCCTATAATGCAGTGTGCTATATTGTCAGTGTGATACACATGACTGTGGTTTGAGTGTAAATATGTGTCTTTTTAACAGCTGCACATAATGATAAAATCTTGAGATGTCTTTTTGTTTGGAGAGGAAACTATCAGGATCCATACCTTGACTCTGCTTCCTTTGTCATTACAAGGACCTTACCTGAGTACATTACCTCCTGAACTGAATCCACAAAATAATAATACATGACAGCACCAGTTAAGATATAAGTGTAAACCATGCTAAGTTTTTATTTAATAATGTAATACAAAATAATAATTTAATACCAGTTTACTGGCACTGAGTCGAGACAAGTAAGATATTTATAAAAATCAATTTTATTTAGTCACAGTAGCAGGAATGTGAGATTAACACTACTCTAAATGGGTAGAAGCTGAAATTGCCTATATTTACTCCACAGTATCTCCTGAGTTCATGAGTGAAACACTACTAATACAGGAATTGAACCCTGGCTATACAACAAGCTAGAAAGTGCTCCAGGAATGAGTCCTAAAACCAGAAATGAGTTAGCATTTTGGCACTTCTGGTTCCCTCATCTCAAAGTCAATAGATTTTTTTAACATTTCTTCGGTAAGTTGCCTGAAATAAGGTCTGTGGTTAACACAAGCTTGAGCGAATATGTCAGTAAATACCCCACTTGTGAATTTTGAATCCTTTATGTGTCTTTAAAAAAAAAAAGAGGTTCAATCCAATGGAAAAATCACACAGTGACAAGGCAACCAGGGTGATGCTAACTTCCATGTTGGCAGACAGAAAAACTTAATTCAAGCACTCTATAGCTGCAGATAGCTAGCAATGAAACATAAACGGTCAAATGCAACATCAAATATCAAACACTGGACATAGAAAATGAAAATACTAAAGCTGGCGATGAAAACAGTTAATCAAGAGAAAGTGCAACAATGCCCGTTGCAGGCCTGATATTGTCATCAAGCTCACTGAACTACTGTCCAAATATCACACACATGCTCTCCAACATGGCTGCTAGCTAGCTAGCTGGCAAAGATTCAACTAGATGTTAATCCTTAGTTGATTCAGTGGTACTACTTATTTCTTACAAATAGAGTTGAAGGTTTTAGGATTTAGTGGCATCTAGTGGTGAGATTTCAGATTGCAACCAACAGAACTCGTTTCTTTTTTTTCTTTTTTAGACTCCGATGCCATACAGTAAACATATTTGTTTAGAAACTTACAAAGTGAACTGTTGCAATTGTCGTCATCTTTTTTTCTCTTACCCATCTTTCCAAGCGTGTGAAGAAGCCTAGGCCTTAGGTAATATAAAAATGCAGAAGGCCCTCTCAAGAGCCAGTGTCAGTATCTGTTCTTAGCTACTGCAGAAACATGGCAGAGTCACCTGGTGAACTCAGTTGAAGACGACCTGCTCCCCTTGCAGATATGAAGGGCTCATTCTAAGCAAAATTAAATGAAAACACAACGATTCTTAGTTTCAGGTGACTATACACCAATGGTAATTGGACCTGTAGTGGAATAGTGCCTTTCTAGTTGTTCAACCAATCAAAGGTCTTTTACCCTACTTGTCACATTCATCCATTCTCAACCTGCTGAGCCATAGCCAGCCAAAAAAATAGTTAGATACAATCTCTGGCAATAGATCCCTCTAGATCCTACACACTGCACCTTTAAAGTTAGTCAGACACAGTCTACACTCATTGTTACCCAGGAGCATCTCAGGGTTTTTTGAGCTTATACAAGTGATTGTAAAACTGATATTCCTGATACTTTTACTAGGCTGATCATCACCAGCTGTTGCTGCTGTTCGATGTAGAGTGGAATCTCCTCCAATAAGTTCCTCGTCTGCCCTGTTAGCACAAGCTAATCAATTACTAATACTGTCTCTTGCATCTTTGAAACAAATTAAACTTACACATTGGCCCAAAGCAATCAAAGTTTGCTGAAGATTGAGATGTAAACAAACATAAAGTGGGAATTTTACCACCCACACTTAAATCTCAATGAGGAGAGCTCTTCTCAGGAGTTTTTCCTCTTTTTTCAGATGACACTGGGATAAATAATTCCCTCTGGAGTCTTGGATGGCGTATTCTAAATAAATGTGTGGCTATCTGTGTTCCACAGCAGGAAGTGATGTCTCAAGCCAGATCATTTTGTAAATGTTTAAAGGCTGTTTGGTCACATTCTAATACCCATTAAAAACACTGCAGGGAAAACGGATAAACACCAGATTAGAGAATGAAGATGCACATGATTCAGACATGACAGAAAGATAAGTCAACGGGTCGGTTAAGCAGTCAGACACGCCAGCCTGTATCCTGGAGATCAGTTCACTGTGGTTCACCTCGGTGAACAATGTAGAGTGTACTCAAAGGTACGTCTGCATGCAACCTATTTAGGAGAATCTGCAGTACACGTAGAAACTGGAATGGATTGGGAGAATAAACATTGGCAGGTATAATAGGCCTGATTTCAATCACAATCATTTAAATCAATCTCATCTTCTCTCTACTCTGACTCACCAGAAGTAGGCTGTGCCATGAACCTGCCATTGGACAGCTACTTTGGCCAGCATTCTCCCTCCCTCTATCTACATGTTACAGTTTTCAAATTCCCCTTTTATTAAAGGGAACAACAACCTACGAGCTAACAACTTACATACTCAAAATGGCAAGTTTTAAAGAAGAGTTGGTTCATGCAGTAAGACATGCCTTTGTTCTTTTGGTGATTTTTTGTGAAGATCTACAACAAATAAGACTCTGATCCTATGATCCGTTTTCTGGCACGACCAATCAGATTTGATTTGTCACATTATTGTATGCTGGCAGCGGCATGCACCAGTCCCATCCATTCCACTTCACATGAACCTCTGTGATATTGTCTGCAAGAGCCACATACAGCTAGCAAATTGTCTGTGGTTTAAATGGGTTCAGTAAGCTCCTCCAGAGCTTAAGTATAGTCAGACTTTCCCTTTAGAGCACAGATTATCAAATTACGCTTTTTACTGGTAAATGTTGAATCAGATATAGTCAACATATTTTGGTTGCTGTTTTTTGTGGCATTTTCATTTGCAGAGAATTAGCCATTTTAATGACAGTACTTGCCTCCCTATGTGCAAATGTTCCACCAAAACAAGTACTGCCCCAACACTATTTTGCCAGAATACTGTCACTGCATCCTGGGCTTAGATCTGCTGAAACCTATTGTGATTCGTTTAAAGAAATACAAACAAGCCAGAGCATTTTTTTTACCCCTATTGTTTTCTTCCAGACTTTTCTCTAGCGCTGAGACAGCACTGTGGAGATAGGTCTGGCTGCCCAATATCTTCCTTCCAAAGGAAGAGAATGATGCTGTCTGTGTCACAGGGCTCTGACAGGTTGGTGATAGAAGAGAACAGTCTGATGCCAAGACTTCAAGAACAAACGGGTGTCATTGTGCAGAGGGCTCAGAATTGCTGCAAGTTCAAACAGCGCCCTTTAAAAGATTTGATAGCAGAAAACACCTTGGTAAAGTGATGCCCAGTGTAAGGAGTGATAATTAATGATGTTTAGTTAAGTAAGGGGCCAAACAGACTTTGGGAGCCACATGCCAGTTTCTGATATTAGATGATGGCGCTTGGATCGACAGCAATAAACAGTTTTTGCCTGCAGAAGAATTTTTGGGTCCTGTTGCTTCCCATCCTCCCAACCTGTTGTACAGATTCAGAGGTGATGATTGTGCAATGATTGTTATTATCAGCCCTCCAACTGCAGCTTAACTCCCACAAGTATTTTCTACATTGACAGCATAACTGTAACCCTCCCAATGAAATCTTGTATTTTCTTACAGTACAGTTTGACATATTGGGAAATACACTTATTTGGTTATTTGCCGAGACACAGATGAGAATATTGGCACCACTGTCATACAAGAGATTGCTGTCAATCTTCTCAGAGCGAAAGCAAATAATAGTATTTCCCAATTATTAAACTCCTTCAATTTCATAATTTTTCATGGCTGTTCTCTTGTTTCTTCTCATCTTTGGTGTTTCTGACTTCTTCTCTGACTTTTCCTCAGGTCTAATTGTGGGATCCTTGATGGTATGCTGGCTTCCAAACCAAATTCGTCGTCTCATGATGGCTGCTGTGCCCAAGTCCCGCTGGACTACTTCCTACTTTCGGAGCTACATCACTCTCCACCCTGTGGCTGACACCTTCTTCTACCTCAGCTCTGTCCTCAACCCGTTCCTCTACAACCTCTCCTCCAGACAGTTCAGGGAGGTTTTTGTCCAGGTGCTGCGTTGCCGCCTCACCATCGAACATATCAATAAGCGCACCGTGCAGAACTCCCGAGCTGCTTCTGCACGCTCTCTCCTACCCCTGCTGATAAAGTCATTGCGTCGCAGCAGGGCAAACCGCCCCAACCTTACACAAGAGAAAACTCCCACCTTTACAACCTTTCAGAGTCAAAATGACTCAGGAGTGGCTTCAAATACCCAAACTCTTAGCCTTACTGAAGAGTCAGACTCAACTCTCAAAACAAAGAGAGATAACCCATCAGAAACTGAAGTATAATGTGCTGTACAATTTAATGGGACACAGTGAACAGTAAAAACAAAGCAAGGATGCTTGTGCTGTGCCATCACAAACCGATAGAGATATTCTTTATACACAGTAAACAGAGTACAAAGTGTTATGTCAGGAATTTCATTAACAGATCATGCTCAGCTGACAGTTTGGCACAATAGCAAGCTTGATTGGACTCCTCAAGTGTGAAATTGTTATCAAGTCAGAAACTATTATACAAAAGCTCAAATATTCAGTTAAGCATGAAGACCCTACAGCTTGAGTTAAAGTTAAAGGTGCCCAGTGGAGTTTATGGCCACTTGTGGTGCTTTGAAGCTCTATTTTAATGTCTGGGTCCTTCTGGTATTTTATATGTATATATATTCTCAGAATCGCAAATGTGCAGTGCATAAAACACGCTCCCAGGAATAGCACTGAGATGTCAGGTGATTTTGGCTTAGAAGTTGGAATAGCAGGTCACCTGACATGCACTGACCTAAAAAGACTTTTTTTCTGTACACACACAATATAAAGGCAATAGCTGTAAAATGATAAATAAAACACCCCCAAATCACTCTTTATACAAGTATTATCAGAATTTGAGCTTTAAGGTCCATCAAATTTTAAAAGACTGGAAGAGCAGTAAATAAGTAAATCATTTTGGGGAACCAGCAGGGATTAATTATGCAGTGGGCCAAAAAATTTACCAGCCAAATAACGCCAAGAAAACTTTTTCCGTGTATGCACACAGTGAGTGAATTTCATGAGAATGAACTGTGGTATTTTATGCCTTAAATAATTAATCAGATGTCCCAGTGATATAAATGTCCACGCATGCGCATGAGGTTGATATATTGACTAACATAAAAAATAAAGTATTTGTGTATCCTGTATCATGTTGTTGGGAAAGTTCATTTATTAGCCACTTCATAGACACATTTTTGGATCTGATGGCCCTATCAGCAGGAAAACATCTCAACATTTCAAATCACTGTTAAAAAAGTAAGACAGTTGTGTAGTGGGACAGGACAGGGCTATGGTTAAGATTTGGGCAGGTTTAGACACAAAAATGTTCCATTTTGGAAAAGATCATGATTTGTGTTTAGATATCTAGTTAAGGTGAGGGAAACATTGATTTCAGTAATAAACATGTGGCTAAGGTTAGAAAACGATTGAGGTCATTGATAAAATAAATGAATGTTTCTTGATATGAAATGGGATACTCTATGACAACGTCATCTGGCTTCCTTTTTTGCTTGCTTTATAATTCCTACGGCTGCTAGAGGGTGCTGTCACTTGATTGTAAACGTGCTGTTTTGGGGCACTTGCTGAAGTGACTGATGCTGTCATTTTTCTTGGACAGTGTCCAATACAATAAGCATACTATAAAGCTGAAGCCATCTTAGAACAATTTAATATTCAGTTCTTTTAATACAACCGTGACATGCAAGCTATGGGATGTCCAGTCTCGGAACCCATTAGCTATCACTGTTAAAACGCTAAGCCTCTGGGGACAATGGCTAATATTTAGGCAGATCTGGAGGAGATATCCGGATATCTAGGCCAAGACTTCTCTACATACAGATATTTGCATATGAATGCAGAATTAAAAAAAAAAAAAGCAAACAAAAAGCTAAATTGTGGTCAGACGATAGCCAACGGGTTCAGAGATTGCATTTCGGCCAGTGTGTTCAACCACTCCACAAAGACTGTTTACCTGCTGCTCAAACATGACTGGTCAACAAACGGACTACAAACAGAAGCCAGAATACTTCTGATACCAATATCTTGTCCCATTGCCTACAGATTCTGCAAACATATGCAAATATTTGTTTACTGAGACTATATGATGTCCAGTGACTTCATGCTGTTCCACTTGCTAACAGCTGGTAGCACTAAAGCCACCAGAAACTTGTATCAGCAAAGATAGGAAAGAAGAGGACAGTTAGCTAACGTAAACCACAGGCTGTATAAAACGTAGCCACTGTGACCTCAGCCACTGGTTTGTGGACTCCCATTTTAAAGCCTTAAATTTAGCATTTCGGCCATCACCATCTTGGATTTTTGGAACTAGAAGTTACTATATTTGAATGACAGGGTGGAGCTGTGGAGGAGCAAGGGGTGGATCTGACTCACAGACTGTGCTGGGCCTCACAGACAACCTGTCACTCAAAGCAGCTACGCCATTATTATGCATAACTTAAGCCTTGATCAAATCAAGTGAGTAAGCAAGTGAGTTATATAAAAATTCACTCCTCCGTACAGTTGTCACGAACGAGGAAATCAGTTATAGAGACCAAGCTGTAAATTTTTTTTTTGCTGTAAAGTGGTCATTTTAACAAGGGGGTATATGGTGAGTGACTCGCTCTTGGAGCCAGCCTCAAGTGACCATTAGAGGAACTGCAGTTTTTGGCACGTATGCATTGGTTCATTTTTCAGCCCTGGAGGATACCGCTTGGTGTAAACATAGATGTAAGCTATAAAGGCCCCGAAATATTGGCTTTACAAATGTATTCAACATGTTACTTAAACCTCAAAGACACACACACAAAACTCCATAGGATACGTTTAAGGTCCAGGTCACCTCCAAAGCAACCACTCAAACACTGCAAAAGCAACATGATATTACACTTGATGGACAACATCAACTTCTTGCATGTTTAGCACATCACTTTACATGTTATCATAACACATTTGGCTCTGAAATATTCTGTCAAGGTATGCATACTGATGCCTTACCATACAACATATTCCCTGATTATAGGGAAATAGCACATCTTCAAGGATAACTTTAGAACTCTTTTGATAAAGCTGAATGAGTCAATCAGCAGTCACCAACATGTAGCCACTCTATGGCCTTCACTGTAGCACACACACACTGAACTACTGCTGCTCCACCTCGGTGCAAACTGTTCTACTTATTAGAGATGTGATGAATTTGTGATGAGTAGTTAGAAAAAGGTTTGTGGACTTCATCATGCTTTTGTAGCTCTATGTAGGCTAGACAGACAGCAATGGTTGTTACAGAGTTTGAGGATAAAAACAGAACTTTTTTATGTCCTCCACTGAGTGCTGCTAGTTGTTGCTGAGAGCTGTCAGTTGGATGACACTATATTTGTGAGGGGCTTGAAGGCTGGAGGTGGCTTTAATAAAATGATACGTTTTTCTTCATTCAATGCCTTTTTCCAACCTGCATTTTTTTTCACAGAATCATATATCATTCATACATATATACTGTCTTTTTTCAGTTTATTGATACAACAAAATTGGTGATTGTTCCAATTAACGGTATTAATTTAGATTTATTCAGGAGAACTTTTCTTAAGACTCATGAATCATGATTCTGAACTTTCTTTCCTGCAATGTGTCTTATTTGACCTTGTACTGTAAGTTAATAAAGACAGATGTGAATGAGCCCCCTGCTGCCCAACAAAATAGCCAAAAGCTGTTTCATACACAGCACAGTCCTCCACTTCACCTTACCCAGCTCTCCTTGTAGCTGCACCAAGATCATGTTTGTGACATGACACATGTGATGTGATTGAATTTCTCAATTTGGCCTTTGGAGGCAAGATGCAACATTAAGGAAGTCAAAAGAACAAATACTGTACAAAGCTTCCAATATGCCTCAAAGAATATGCACATAAAAAGTATGTATTCTTCACTGCTTCAGTTTATACAGTTCCAGATCATGTTGTCTCCACTGTCAATACAGGTTAACTCAGTGTGTGAAGGTCTGTCAGCACAGGGTGGAGGATAGTAGGAGGACGATGTAGAGAGAAAACACAGGGAATTGTGGCATGGTCAGGGTAATGGCGGCCGACGGTTGGGGACGTTTCTTCTGCCGTGGTCCATTACACAGTGGTGTGTTACAGCAGGTGATGCACACAGAGTTGAGCTTGCCGGTACAGAACTGCTGGTAACCAGAAGAAGCAATAAGACAGGCTCCTGATGAGGCGCAGGACTTGCGGTAGTGTATCCCTGAAATAAGACAGAAATGGATGCATTAGGTTGGTAATGAGAGAATTACAGGGTGCGGGTTTGTGTGTGAAAAGGAACAAAGACAGAAAGAGTGAGATGGAGGCATGCAATTAAGAATAAACAGGATGTATGCTTTCATCAAGGGGAGCCCAACTTAAAGGAAAACATCTCTGCATAATTGGCTTAATGCAGCCATAACTCTTAGCTCTCCTCTGTGTCTCTCAAAGATTTGCATAAAATTGTCACAGTGTCTGGTATAATTAGTCCAGAAAGCCCTTGCTTTTTAACTGGTGCTCTTAGCGGGTGCACCTTTTCTTCTCTCTCTTTTATATATATCCAGAGGAACTTTAGATATAACACTAAGCCCAACGCTTTCTAGCAGCCCAAAGATTTTCAGTCCAGTTACTTTAGCATGGACTTTGAATTTCAGATTTCTAAATAGGAGTGAGGGTGGCACTTAAATGTGCTTTAAAGACAGGCTTAAGGAGAAAAAAAATAGTCTCGCAGAAACATACATTAGATTGTTGAGGCAGCAGTGTGAAAGAAGCCAGCAGTCAATCAACCAGCTGCAGAACTGCTGACATAAAATACACAGGCACCAGCTGCACAGGTAGCAGGGTTGATGGTTTCTTCCTTTTCAGCCATCAAACATGGGAACTGTTAGTGTTTCCCTCTGCTATATTGCTGCCTTAAAATGGGGTGGAGGTTACTGTGTTCATGAAAGGAGTCCATGTGAATGCCCCCCCTCTTGCGGTATTCACAACCTCAGAAATGGAAATGTTCCAAAAGCCCCGAGATCTCAAGTTGTGATGAGTTTGCTGACATATTCAGAAATGGCGAAGGCCATAGAAGTTCATTTTCCAGTGGATGGTAAGTCAATATATTGTAATTTTACTTGTATAGATTCTTTCTTGTTATATGTTTGTGATGAAAATTGAGCATCTAGTTGTGTACCACAATTGACCATCAAATTCTGCTTGAGAGTCTGGAACATTTAATCCTATTTATCTGATTGATGTCAGTTCATTCATGTTCATGATGAATCATCTTTGCAATCTCAAGTTTGTCTCGGCTTTCCACAAGGTTCTGTGCTCAGACCAATACTCTTCACTTTATATATGCTTCCCTAAGGGGAACAACATTAGAAATCACTCTGTAAACTTCCATTGTTATGCAGATGATACACAGTTTTATCTATCAATCAAGCCAGAAGAAATGGATCAGTTCACTAAACTTCAAACATGCCTTAAGGACAGAAAAACCTGGGTGAGCTCCAATTTCTTTCTGTTAAACTCAGACAAAAACCTAAGTTATTGTACTTGGCCCCAAACACATAAGAAACTCTCTATGTTAAGATATAGTTTTTCTGGATGCCATTGCTCTGGCCTCCAGCACAACTGTAAGGAACCTCAAAGTAATATTTCCCAGCAGAGCTCTACCCAAATTCAACTTAAGCAATGGTCTTATTAGCCAGAACTTAGTGCAAATGTGTAAGGGTGCAATTAAAGGAGCTCTATACAATATTCAGAGCATTAATATAGCAGCAAACAACCATTTGACATTTGACATCAGACTTTCAAAATCAGATACAGATGTGGTCAATGTCAGAATGCAACTGAGCCACAGTGCACACAGCCTACTGTGTGAGTATTGTAAAAAAACGGTTATAGATTTGCCCAAATACTCCCATAGAGAGCTATAATTTTTTATACCAAGTGTACACAAACATGCAACTATGAGATCTCTTAAACTCTGACACTAATCCAATAATCCGATCCTCACAGAGGCAGATGTCTTGGCCTGAACAGTTGGAGCTACACCACACAGACTGGATATAAAGATGGCATGACAGTTCCCCAAAAGTGAAGCCTAATATCTTGATTTCCCCCTGATGGCTGGCTGCAATAAAGGTCATAAACCCCTTCCCCTCTATGTTAGTGGATGAGACATGGGCCTAAATAAAAACTCAAAGCAGACATCACATACATTTTTCCCACCAATGGTCTCTGTGGTTTAGTTAGTTATATCACACTGATGTTGAAATGTTAATTTTTTTAAATAAGTTTTGCTTGAATTAGTTATTTGATACTATAAAAGGGATATGAAATAATGATTGATAGCTGTGACTGACTTGTGATTGAGTCAGTGTGGGGGGTGTGGTTTGGATCTTGATGCTGTGGTCCTCCAGTAGATCACTATTTGTAGACTGGCTCCAAATAACATCACAAGGCCACCAGGGCAAGATGACAGCACCTGTATCTGGGATATTTTGGGTTCATTTTTGCACAATGGGAGAAAGTGGATATGCATCTTTCAACTTCATATACAGTCTATCATGCTACACAACAACATCTGGTTTATCCAACAGCAACACCAATTCCTGATATTATGCAGTTGCTGGTAATTATCTGAGGTGTTTTCTTTAGGACTGGAGATATAGAGGTTTGACCTCATTATCTTTTATATTATCTTTGAATCAGCAACTACCAAGCTATTAATTAATGATAACTTGGTTCCTGATTTGATCCTTACACATTCATTTGTGAACCTTAAGTAAGATCATTTGTTGTGTCATCTGTGCCCATGAAAATGTCAATGCTAAGTTTTTCTGATTAGATATTCTAATATCCCCAACACAAAATGAATATGAGGATTCTGTGTAGTTTGGTGGAGGAGAAATCACAAAACACTCTAATATTATATTTAGAGCCATTTTCAGTGTCTGCATTTGATTTGCAAAGCTCCTCTGAAAAGCATCCATCTCAGAAAAGTTGACTTATCTCCACCAGCTATAATCCACATCACAATGAAGTTTAGTCAGGGAGCCGCAGAATTAAAGAGACCGACAGCTGTGACCATTTCAGGTGGTGTTTTTTTTCTATTTGCACTATAAAGCGTTGATTTACTACAGCTTGTTAGAACAAGTTGTTTGTGAGATTAGTGGACAGAGACGGTAACATTTGGTTGACATTTTATCTCAAAGAAATATAGATACGAGTACATGAACTTCCAATAACCCTTGTAATGTGTCAATCTTATCTCCACCTGAGTGCAACAGATACAGGCATAGTAACATCCAATGTACTGCATGTTCATTTAAATTGTGCATCCTTCCATGTCTTATATACTGCAAATATCAGCTGAGGTCCCAGAAGGTGTTGAGTAATCCAGTGGAAACACAGTGGGAAATGTTGCAAAGCTCTGGAAGGAAATGTCCCGTCTTCTCACAAAGCCTGCAGAATAAAACCTGACTCACACTGTGTTTATATCTCTATTTTTAGCTGTTGCACTCTTAAAGGATGGCAGCACTTCTGAGGATCTCTGTCATTTTCAGCTCAAACCTTATAATGGCCGTTGATATTGTGAACTAAATAAGAAATCTGTGGGACAAATATATGAAATAACTCAAAGTAAGAAAATCCTGTGGTCACAAACGGCTATATAATCTGTTGGTTTTTATCTTGAGCAGTAATTGGAAAATAGCTGGAGCCGATAACACAGGCAGTCAGTGGAAAATGAGGTGCAGTAAAAGTGGGAAGTGTCACTGACAGAGAATACAGATTTGATGGTTTTTCTCACCTCAAACAATCACTTACCATACAATCCTATTAGTTCAGCTTTTATATAGCTTTCAGAGTTTTTCAGTTATTGGACTTCAAGTTTTATCATTTTTATACACCTTCTCAGATTTTTACAGTGTTGTATATTGTGAAGAATGTTAAAAGTGGCAGACTGACTGGGTGACATCACAAACTTTTTTTATCACCTATACAGACGCTTGAACTGTAAATAGTTGGAGTCAACCGACATTTCAACTGCTTTCTATTCTTACACTTTGAATGATATTTCAGGGATGTCAGTTTCAGTAAATTTTTGATAGCCAGACACCCATTAACCATTAACATTTAAAAAAAAAAAAAAAAAAAAAGATAAAAAGACCTGAAATACAAGAGACGTTTTCCATTCAGTTCAGCGCTCCATTTCCTAAGTGAGCTTTCAAAGCACTATACATTCATAGGTGGTAATTTTTTTTTTTTTTTTACAGTTAATATTTTGCCTTCTATTTTCTTTTGGCTTTGCTGTCAGTCATGTGGCTAACTGTGTTAACATGTGGAAACATGGTGCCTACACTTCTGTCCCCACTGCTTAACTAGCCACTCTGTACTGCACACTGGCCAGGCAGGACCTAGCAAGCGACTCTACTTTTTCAGTGATCACCTCTGGTAACACCATACTGCCCCAGGGGTTTTGACACAACATAGTTAACAATGCTAAAGGGGTTTTATGACTCCAAATTAAGCCAAGTACTTACAAGGGCAATGTAGGGGGAGACCAGAGGGTGGGCACAATATCCTGCAGCAACACCACCATGGGTCAGGACAGCATAAAAAGCAGTAGAATGAGCGGCTGACAAGGAAACTGTGGAAGATTAAAGGTCGTACGTCAGTGACAGCTGTCGAGGAGCCACACTTTGGTGTCAGTTCTATTGGAGTCAATGGGGTGGGCACTGCAACTCACATCTTAACCCATCATATCTTTGTTGTTTCAACTGTGACTGAAAAAACCTTCCTCCAGACCAAAAAAACATTATGTGAGGCTTACTGACATTTTTTTAAATCTAAATACGCTAGGCTGACCAAACGTCCTCTTTTGCCCGGACATGTTGACCATCAAATTCTACTGCAGAGACTGGATCACTTAATTGGCCTAAAAGGTTCTGCACTAAGCTGGTTTAAATCTTATTTATCTGATCGTTTTCAGTTTGTTGACGTTCATAATGAATCATCCTTACGTACCAAAGTTTGTTTTGGAGTTCCGCAAGGTTCTGTGCTCGGACCAATCCTATTTACTCTATATATGCTTCCTTTAGGTAACATCATTAGAAATCACTCTATAAATTTCCATTGTTGCGGATGATACTCAGTTGTATTTATTGATGAAGCCAGAAGAAAGTAATCAATTAACTAAACTCCATAACTGCCTTAAAGACATAAAAACCT